CGCTCTTTGACTCCAGCTGATCACAATAATCTTCTGTGTTTATAAATTAAATGGAAATTAATTGCAAAGCTTGTGACTGCACCAGGTGACCTGTGCTCCTAAAGACTGAGTTTGAGTTTTCTGCACACTGAACCTCTGGGCAACCAGTTTGTCAACGCAACTGCTCACAATGATCCCAGCCAGCAAAGAAATTAAATGCAATCAGTTTCTAGTGTTTGTCAGAGGCTGCTGTCCTACTTTTACTCTGCTGTGACTGAGGCCTGAGAACAGGGGTGTCAAACTCCAGACCTCGAGGGCCGGTGTCCTGCAGGGTTTAGATCTCATCCTGTGTCAACACACCTGAATCACATGATTAGTTTATCACCAGGCCTCTGCAGAACTTCAAGACATGTTGAGGAGGTCATTTAACCATTTAAATCCGCTGTGTTGGATCAAGGACACGTCTAAAACCTGCAGGACCCCGGCCCTCGAGGCCTGGAGTTCGACACATGTGCCTTAGAATGACAAAGGAGTTATTGGTAGGTAGGTTTGGGCGAATATATCGACTGTCGTCGACGGGTTTACAAGGAACATTTATTTATTTAAGTAAGTTTGTTGATAATGTTGGTTGACGCTAACAGAAGCAGTCAACAGAAATAAATAATACCGCTGTTTTAGCGGCACCCTCCTCAGAGTGCGCCCAAACGTAGCAGCGATTCATTTACTCAAACTCATGACAGAAAGAAAGAGCAGCAGTAGCCAATGTTCAGAAAAAAGCATTTTATTTAAGTAACAAAACACACAATGGTGGAGAGGGAAACAAAGACAAACCGGCTTCTTTTTTCTGCTATACCCTGTTTACAGGCCGATCCAGTGTTGATCTGTCGGACACACTCGACCAAACAACAAGTTAAAAATCAAAACGTCTCTTCCAGCTGCGATGTAACGTCTTTTGTGCAATTCGGCGCATCTCAAATAAATAAATAAATAAAGGAATGAATGAATAATCCAAAAAGTAGCTTCATTTAAACTTAAATTCTTTGACAGGAAAACAAGCACGTTTCCTGTTTACTGCAATGTTTGCGGAGGTGGTTCACAATGTTGAACATGCGTCCTGAAGGTGTGCTTGTAGCTGGTATACGAGGATATTTCCGTGTGTGACATCACTAGGAGATGCATTGTCCAGACCAGTGGATCGTCTTCTCCGTCTACGACCTCCTCGCTGAGCTAACAGTCCGTTTCTATCTGCGCCTTCGCCTCCAGTCTGTAATTTGGCAATTCGTTCGTCCATGTTTGGACTTCTAAACGTGCAAATCAGTCCGTGCATGATTGCATTGCTCCGTCCATCAAAAAGTCTGTGCATGTGCAAATGTATCGCCTGTCGTCGGTTACTGGACTGACGATTGTCCATTAGAAAATTTTTACATTTCACCCAAACTTATTGGAAGCGAGCTAGCTCATCCAGCCTGGTGCAATTTCATATTTCAAGGTAGAAAACCTCCTAGAAAGAGACTGGAGGGACAGAAACAACTTGAAGATAAGTTGCAGAAGCAAAAAAGAAAAGAAGTAATTAATTGATGAAGAAATCTCTGCACAGAATCACTAAAATCACACATCAGACCTTTTAGTGAAATAAAATTCAGGTTGAAAATCGATATTTACCGACATCCATCCATTTCTCTCTAAATGGGCACTAAAAAGATCAACCTCCTGAAGGCTGCATACACACCAAATATCAAAGTCA